GGAACACGAATATACTCCCACTCGCGCCTCTCGCCAGCCGCCGAGGCCTCACCTGGAGCCTTCTCTGCAGCCGCACCCTTTCCCGCCAGCATGATGTCCCGATACCAATCGGGATCCATGCTGTCCGAGTGCAAAGCGTCGAACCAGCAACCGGCTCCGGCCGAGCCACCACAGAGAACCGCCCCACGGCCCATGGCCCGGCGAAGTGGCTCCACCATCGCAGCCTTGTGCCAGCGATCCACTGCGAACAGGGTGTTCCCGCCTGAAACGAGGATGATATCGGCACCGTTTATGGCTTCCTCAACCACAGCTGGCGTCGGCGTGCGGCATGCCACGTCTAAGGTGTTGACGACCACGCCGCGATCTGCGAACGCCCCTGTCTGCTTCTGCCTAAATGATGCTATGTCATATGTAGCCGTGCCCAAGTAGAGAAGCCTCACCTCGGAAGGCTGTTTCTGAGTCAGTTGCAACACAGCATTGACCACAGGTGCCTCACCCATCATTGCCACACCAGCTCCAGCCAACACTGCACGAATGCACGGTGGGCCGACTGCCGCCATCTTGGCTTGCAACCGCTGGGACCTAGAAGTGGTCACATGTGCTGCTCAAGAACCCAAAACATACCCCTGGTTTTCTGTGTGACTATCAGGGATGCGTCGACGCTTGCAATGCTTGCGACCTCCACGGAAGCTACGTCCTACGTCGACTCTGCCATAACATGTGCGACAACTGGGCTGGTTAAACAGGCATGTGTACTGACACGAATAGCGGACTTCTTTAGGAGTGCAGAAGATGCAGAAGTCAATATTCAACAAATCAGCGTTCTACAGAGCTTTGAACCTCTGCGGAACATTTCGCGTGTCTGAGAAAATCCTAGCTGCCAGACGCGCTGTTAGTGCCAAGCTTTTGCTACACCACACGAGACGAATGGTGAAGGACTCTGTCCATCTGGGTTGAGCAAAGATGATTCGTTGAAATCGTTGCGCTTCCTCGCTATATACTATACCAGACTATTCTATACCATACTGTACTACACTATAATTACCGTACTATACGATACTGTACAATACAATACTATACTGTACTACTCCGTCAGTAAAGCACTAAATTGAACTCGATTCACCAGGAAGCGGAGCCCTGTTCCCCTCCGAGGCCTTGGAATTGCGAAGGCAGTCTTACCCCGAGGAAGGCAAGTCCACAGGCACACGCCCAAGCCCAACACCCAGGCGGCGCGAGAAACAGATGAACCCTAAACCCTAAACCCTAAACCCTAAACCCTATGGGGCCGGGGCCATCAAGGCACAGTTGTCATAGTGGTGATGTATCTGTGCTAGTGGAGGAAGGGTAGCGAGTATAGTAGCAGTGTCAGCAGCAGCCGTAGAAGTAGCGGTGGTGGTGGTAGCAGTGGTAGGTAGTAGTAGTAGTAGTAGTAGTAGTAGTAGTTGTTGTTGTTGTTGAAGCAGTAGCAGCGGTTGGAGGTGGGGTGGTGCTACTGATGCTACTCATAGCTGATTGCAAGTAAGCTTCGACATGGCCCAGGCTGCAAAATGTTGCGACATGTGAGAATTGTCGGGTTTGGTTAGGGTTAGGGCTTATGGTTTAGGGTTTAGGGTTTAGGGCTTAAAGGATTTAGGGTTTTAGGGAAGGCACGCTAGAACTTTACGCTTTCAATACGAGAAATTGCGAAATCTCATGAGAATCTTTCATTATGCTGCTGCCTTTTGCTCTCGTGTTGCCCTCCCCTTGCTCTACTCCACAAACAGGTAGGAGAGAGAAAGATCAAGGTTGAAAAGAAGATGCAACACTGACAAACAACTAAGAAGGAAAGAGCAACTGTCAAAATCCGCGAGCCTGCGTACTGGAGAAGACACGAACGGCCCATTATGTTTCCACACCAACACCAAGGCATCAACGAAATGAGGGCCTTGCAACACATCTTGAAAGCAGCACAAGCTCGGGGCAGGGCATAGTAACATAGTATGTACGACTAAGGCACGAATCAGGGGAGGATTCTGCAAACCAGCGGAAGTCAAAAGCTTCAGACACAAAACGTCACGGTGGCCCGAACTCAAGGCGAAGAATCCACATGATGCTTAGATGCTTTCTGACATCTGGCCATCACATGCATGCAAGTAACGGGGCTTGACTACGACGGTATTCAGAATGCTCTACCATAGATTCGAGCCTAATCTACGCCAATGAAGCTGTAGCATCGTCAGCAATGGGCCATCTGGATGGAGATTCCGTGGGCTAGCTTGGGTGCTTGCGAACGGCGTCAGATGTCTGACTGTTCCGCAAACATGGCACCGATTACTGAACAGAGGATTGAATTACGGGTGCCATCTGACGGACAGGAGCTGTGCGACACAGTCAATCACAACGAAAAAGCTCAGGACACACCCCTCCTTTTTCGCACCAGCACCCTGCCAGCATCACTGGAGTCAATCACGCTCGTCCCAGAAGCAACCGTCGTCGTAATCAAGGCAAACTTCTTTCGAGCGATACTTTTTGCAGTGATATTCTCGATGGTCGCGCTTATTTCTGCATATCCCTTTCTTTTCCACCTCAAGTGCTTCTGTCAGAAGTGGCTGGCAAACTCTGGTTGTTACTGTTGCAATGCAAAGACGCTTGCGCCACTTGTCGACACTTAACTGTAAGCACTGCCAACTTTTCGGATCAGACAACAAATCACCCGCATCCAAACTGGCTGATAGCTTCAGGTCCCCTAATCCCTACACCCTTAAACACTAAACCTTCGTGAAACACTGACACTTACACCCTAAACCCTAAAACCGCCAAACCTAAAAACCCTCAAACCACTAAACCTCATACTCTCAACCCTAAACCCTAAACCCTAAACCCCAAACACAGTCTGAATGCAGTCACCGGGCTGCTTGCGCCGTGGCGGTACTGACAGTGGGATCGTGGTCTGCAACGTTCAGCAAGCTCTGCCTTAGACCGTGGTACATTGTTTTTCTATCAGGATCTATAGGGATGTAGACAGTTGTGCAAAGTGATTTGTTACTTCACTGTACTATCTGTTTACGGCTCTTCTAGATCGGACTTTGTCTAGGCCATGTTTGATTGATGTTATGGCTTTTCTTGCTGTGACGCGTAGGTTTCATCTTGCACAAGAATACCTGCTCATTTGTACTTGTACTATGAAGCATGAACTAATGAAATATGTACTGGCACTACTTATGATATAACGCGAAAGAGTATTACATATAATGCGAAATCATGCCAAAAGATCACTACAAAAAACCATCGCATTATTTTGAACTAATTTATAGTGCAATGAGATATAACAAATACAAAATACTAACAGAACAGAACAGAACAGAACAGAACAGAACAGAACAGAACAGAGCAGAACAGAGCAGAACATAGCATAACAAAACATAACATAACATAGCATAGCAAAACACAATATGGCATAGCTATGTGTGTGTATACGTATATATATATATATATAATAAAAATAATAATAATGTATATATATATATATAGACATACATATATATATATATAACGATATACTGGAAAATATGAGCTAGTAAGTTGAGAGGTGCTGGAGTATACTGTACGTAAGATGTACGATATAGTATGATGTGGTCCAACATGTCAACACGGATATAGAAGAATAGAAAAGAATAGAACATAATGGAATAGAGCAAAATGCAACATAATCGAATTTAACACACCAGAAACAAATACAATAGAGCAGAACAGAATAGAATAGAACTGAGCAGAACGGAGGAACGTAAAGGAGCAAGATTATGTGGAAAATAGCATAAGATGACAGAACTGAATAAAACATGAAAGAACGTCACAGAATTCAATCGAATAGAATGTCACATGACAGATTATGTTCGAATAAAACATGTAACAATGGAATGTCAACGAATGTAATTCCATGTGGTATGTAAAGAAGAATAAGAACCGGAATGGAATCAACGAGAGGAGAAGCGCAGGAAATTAGAATCTCATCAAAAGTAATTCACCACTTGGGTCTTAGGTTATTCCACTGCAGTCCCTTACAAAACTGTAGCCCCAAACCCAATTTTGACTAAGGCCCTTTTGTGGGTAGTTCTCTAAATGTGTTTCTTTTAGGGTCCTTTTTATCCGGGTGCCGTACTATTTTAAGGATCTAAAAGGGGACCCTCATTCCAAAAAATACCCACGCAGAACCCTTATAATAGCCATATACAGACCCTATAAAGAACCTTTAAGATTCCTTTAAGGAACAACTAAACGGAGACCCTAATTTAGAGAACTACCCATATAACCCAATCCTTGACCCTAATCCCGAGACCCGAAACCCAAAACCCGCAAACCGGACTTTAGAAAGGGACCCTAATTTAGAGAACTACCCACATAGAACCCGTAAAGTGCCCTTCTAGAAACCCCATAGATCCCTTTAAGGAACCCCTAATATTCGAGGACTACCCCAAAACTAAACAGGGACCCTAATTCAGAGAACCACCCATACAAAGCTTAGGACCGGCACCAGGGCCAAGCAGAGCTCTTCAGCTGAGCCGAGGCACTTGGTGGGCAGCGCCTCTTCAGCATTGCCTGTACAGTAGAGTATGGTAAAGTGTAGTAAGGTGAGGTATCGTAAGGTACAGTAAAGGATAGCAAAGGAGAGCATAGTATAGTGAAGCAAAAGTTATGTCTCGTTTAGTATAGTCTAGGGAGGTATAGTCTCGTCTTGTAGAGTCTAGCGTGGTAGGGTACGGTGTGGTCTACTGCTACCGACAAAGCCCCACAGCGCGTTTGACTTATCTTGCGTTCTAAAGGGTTCGCGGCTACCGCACTCCTGAAGCAGTAAAACGGCCTCGAGAACACGAAAGGCAAAGATTCACTAGTAATGTTCTGGGTCTTTGAATGCAGGTGTTCGTGACCAGCTTCTTTGTTCCAGGGGCTTCATTCTTGTCATGCAGGTGCCTTGTGGAAGCCCGGAGGGTGTTGAGGCTTGCAGCCCAAGACCTGTGCATCTTGTCCTAGTGAGCAGGGGTCCTGCACAAGTGCGACGTCCAGAAATGTTAGATGGCTCACCAAGACAGACCTGAAAAAGCAAGAAAGGAACTCCGAAGCCGGAAGAGTGCGTATTTAAACCAACGAGCCTTTCAAACAAGGCTAAGCCTGAACAGCCAGCGAATCATGAGATAACACTATTAGCAACAGGCACTAACATCAACCCCAACAAGCTGCGAGAATCAACTCCCGGACATTCTTGAAGCCCTCTGACTCCACTCAAAACCCAGAGGCCTTCCGGAGACCAATGTGCAGGTCTCGTAGCACCAGCCAGAAAAAAGGCCAAAGCCACAGAGCACCTCAAGCAGTGAAGACTGTCTGGTGCTTAGTAGGGAATGGGGGAATGGGTTATTGGGACTACTATCAGGGACTACTGTAAGGGACTATCATAGGGATCCATTCCCCCATTCCCTACTAAGCACCAGACAGAAGAAGACGAAGCATGCTCGGAGCCCCCAATTTCAGCCCAAGCGGCAGAGACAAGGCGGCCATGGCCCTAGTAAATTCGAGCAGGCAACGGGTTCCCTGAGTCTCTGAGCCGAAGA